AGCTGCAGCTGCGCATACTGAGTCCCTATTGCTTTTCCTACTTCCTCTGACTGGGGAAGGAGGGGAAAGTGCTGACCAGCTGCATTCCTCCTCTTCCCCTCCTCTAGGAAGCCAGGAGCAAGAGGGAGGCAGAAGGCTGGGCATTTTCCCTCCTCCCTAGTCAGAGGAGGGGCTCTGAAGCAGGAAAAGCAACAGGGGCCCGGTATGTACAAATGCAGTTTCCCCCAAATGGTGCCCTTGCCCCCCACACGCACCCCTACACACATCCTGCCCCTATCCTGAGCCCCCGCCCTGAAATCTGTACCCCCGCATCCCCTCTGCTCTGAGCGCCCCACATCCCCAGCCTGACTCCTGCACCCCGTATGCCCCCTGCTTTGAGCCCCCACACTCAGCCCACTGCTCTGGCTCCCCACACCCCAACCCTCTGCCCTCAACCCTTTCTCATACCTCCAGTCCTGACTCCCATACCCTCACATCCCCATCCTGACTCCTGCACTCCTCACTCCTCCTCATGCCCCCAACCTTGACTCCTACACTCCCTCCCCCATATCCCTCCTGCTCTGAGCCCTCCACACTCCCTGCCCTGACTCCTGCACCCCACAAATCCCCAGGCTCCCACTCCTCACTCCTCCTCATGCCCCCCAACCTTGACTCCTACACTCCCTCCACACTCCAAGCCCCCTGCCCTGAGCTCCTCCTCACTCCCAAGTTCCTGCCCTGACTCCTGCTATGTCCTCCACATCGCTCCTACCCTGAGCCCCTCTTCCCCCCCATGCTCAGATTTCTTACAGGTATTGTTGTATTGTACCTGGGGGGGTGGGAATGTATGTGACACAATAGTACCTGTAAGAAACTTAAGTTACTTTCACCCCTGGTTAGAAGCTTAAATGCCTTTGACGGTCTGGCCCCAGATGCTCAGGTAGATGTGGTTGCTATGGCATCCCTCAGTCTGCTTGCTGCTCCACTTAGTAGTTCAGATATGGGGAGGAAGAAGGAATTGAGAGATCCTGATAGGCAAGCTTTGGGGGCAGTGCTCCACCCTGCTATGGATGGGGGAAGAGACCTGGGTTTGGCATTGGGACTCCTGCTACCTGCATGACATGACTGGGTTGGGAAGTGCTGTGGTGGCAACATGCCCGACAAGATGAAAGGAATACACAGAGGGAGACGGGCTGGGTAACAGGGCAGCGAGCTGTGCTCAGAGCATAGGACAGATCTAGTCTAGGTTATAACTTGTATTGGACCAACTTTTGTTGGGGGAGAAAGACGAACTTTGGAGCTTACGCAGAGCGAGTATCTCATACTCCTTGTCTCTCACACCCCTGCATTTTCCCTGCAAGGCATTTTTAATGGCCAATCTTCATTCTCATTGTGAAGATAAAATCGAAACTTTTCTGTTAAAAGATCCAGTGTTTGTAAAACCACATTTTGGGGTGGAAAAACTTTATGCACAGAACGTGCTGATGGCTGTGATGCCTGCTCTCTAGGGCATGTCCACACTACCTGGCTGGTGGATGGGCAATGCTCTATCCAGGGCGGTGGATGGAGGCGATAAATCGACTGCCATGTGCTCTGCACCAGAACATGCCCCAAGCGTGGCCCAAAGGTTCAAAAGGCTGCAGCCAAGCCATGCCCAGCGCTTGAGTTTGGGGCCCAACCCATCGGCGGTGAGTGATGCCGGTGCCATCAGGCCTGTGGCTGGGTGTTGTGTCTCAGGCCCCTCCTTCTATTCATGGGAGTGGATGGAGGCGATAAATCGACTGCCATGTGCTCTGCACCAGAACATGCCCCAAGCGTGGCCCAAAGGTTCAAAAGGCTGCAGCCAAGCCATGCCCAGCGCTTGAGTTTGGGGCCCAACCCATCGGCGGTGAGTGATGCCGGTGCCATCAGGCCTGTGGCTGGGTGTTGTGTCTCAGGCCCCTCCTTCTATTCATGGGAGCCGGGGGGGCTGGACAGAACTCTCCCCTCCACAGGCTGCCCCACTGGGGAGGGGTGTGCGCTGCAGCCGGCGGAACCTTAGAGCTGCAGCTTCCGGGGCCTGCCCGGAACGCACTGGGGACGGACAGCACAGACTCCTCCCGTCCGA